TGTGTGTGTGTGTGTGTGTGTGTGTGTGTGTGTGTGTGTGTGTGTATGTGTGTGAGTGTGAGTGTATGCCTCTATTTGGCATTAAAAGCACTTCACATTCTGCCCCCGATCTATTTTTCCAGCTTTATTAACTGTTACTCCACTTCATGCAATCTGTATCTTCACTAATTCTCGATTTAGCCTCTTTGCTGTTCCTCACACATAACACTCCATTTCCCATCTCTGTACCATTGCACAAGATGTCCCTCCCTCTCTTTGCTTAGTAGGGAGCACCAACCAGAGCACAATGTCCAAAACAAGGAAGGTGACAGTCCCACTCTATTCTGCTTTAGACCAGGGCTTCTTAAACTTTTCCCACTTGTAGTCACCCCTTCAGTGCTTCTTAAACTGTGGGTCGTGACCCTATAAAGGGTCATGATTTAGACCATATTCTGAGTATGATGTTCAGTCCTAGCCACCACCTTTTGGGGAGCACTTTGACAATCTAAAGTACATTCCAGAGAAAATGACAAGGATGGTGAGGAAACTGGATCAGTAGAAGGTCCTAGATAGCTTTAGCTTGGAGAAGGAAGACTTGGGGGGAGAGGGGAAGCAAGCATGAGAGCTGTCTTCAAGTATTTGAAAGTCTCATGTAGAAGCGGAATTATATCTGTTCTGTTGGTCTCCCACAGGGCAGAAATAAAAGCAATGAGTAGGAGTTGCAGAGCCTGATATAGGACAAATATAAGGACAAATCTCCTAAAAATTGGAGCTATCCAAAAGTGGAATTGCTTGTCCTATAAGGTAATGTCTTCTTTATCACTGGAGGTCTTTAAATGGAGGCTGGTTGGAAAACTATTACAGTAGCTTTTTGGTGCATCTCCCTGCCTCACATCTAGTCCTTCTTCCACTCATCTCCTTGTGGGTTTTTTTTTTTTGGCTAGGCAATGGGGTTAAGTGACTTGCCCAGGGTCACACAGCTAGTAAGTATTATGTGTCTGAGGCCAGATTTGAACTCAGGTCCTCCTGAATCCAGGGCCAGTGCTCTATCCACTGAGCTGCCTAGCTGCCCCTCCACTCATCTTCTTAAAGCTCTTCCTTAAAGATACCCCCAAAGCTCAGGTCTGATCTTATTCTTACTCCACCTCACCTCCGCTCAATAAACTCCAGTGGCGGTGTATCATCTCCAGGTTCAAATATAAAGTCTTCTGTTTGGCTTTGAAAGCTCCCTGGAGCCTGCTCCCTTCTCTTTTTCTAGCCTTCTTAATCCATATTCCCTTTCTGCCATCCCCTCCCCCCTGCCATGGCCACCCATATGATCTTTGGTCCAGAGACACTGGCCTCCCTGTTGTTCCTTGAATAAGACTCCCTGTCTCCCAATGCCAGGCATGTTCACTGGCTGACTCCTATGCCCAGAACAGTCTGCCTCCTCACCTCTACTTTCTAGCTCCCCTGGCTTCCTTCAAATATTGGCTGATGTCCTGCCATCTAGATGATGCCTTTTCAGATCCCCCTTAATTCTATTGCTTTCCCTCTGAGACTATATATACATATCCATATGTATGTGTGTATGTATATGTATGTGTGTACACACACATGTATGTGTATATATGTATGTATGTACATATATACATATATACACATATGTATGTGTATATCTAAATCTATATCTATCCATCTATCTATCTGTCCATCTATCTCTATTTATCTTCTTTGTACATAGTTATTTGCAGGTTGTTTCCCCTGTTAGACTGTAGGGAATATAGTCTTTAGAGGAAGGGCTGTCTTTTGCCTTTCTTTGTATCTTTAGAGCTTTCTTAACACAGTTGTCTGATACATAGCATGTGCTAAATAAATCCTTAATGACTATGGCTATAGAATTCTTAGAATTTCTAGATTCCTTCAAACTCAGCTCAAACACAGCCTCCATCACGAAGCCAACCTCAGTCTCCTGAATGGCGAATGTCTCCCTGCCCTTCCTCATTACCTTATATTCCTTTTGGATACACTCAGATGTGCGTATGTTGTATCTCCTAATAGAATGTAAACTTCTTGAGGGCAGGGACTATTTCATTTTTGCCTATCTATGGTGCCTGCACAATCCCTGACAAATAGTGATTGCTTAATTAATGTTTGTTGCTTGATTAATCTGGATCTGGCTGAGGAAGAATGGACAGGTCAGGACAATTTCTGAGATATATGGTTCTTTTACTTGCCACCGTGAGTTGAG